ACAGGAGCTTAAAGTTTATTAAAAAAATATTATTATACTTTTTCAATACAAACTTTTTATATTATATATTAAAATATTATATATTAAAATTTGTAAATTATACAAGGTATAATTGTACTGTAAATTATACGAGTATGCAACATTTATCAATGTTTTGAGCAGTTTATTTAATTCGCTGCTTACACAATATTACATCGAGATTTGATTAAATTCTTTGCAAGTTTGTATTCGCTTTTAATTCAATCTCAATTCTCGGATTGAGCATACCATTGTAGTAAATTCTAAAGATAGCGAGAAACTCTCAACGAGATGGCTTCTTTTGGATAAATTTAACGAAGAACAATCTTTAAAGTAGCCTTGAAAATTTTTTTGTATATGCTTTATGAATTTGAGTGAGAGCAATTATAAAACATAGCAGATCATCATATATTGATAATAAATTTTTTTACGATATTTATATCTAGTTAGAATTGCAGGATATTTATATTTGCTTATTGAAGTTTCCTACATTGCACAGAGAATTTCTCACTAAAAAATGTTATAAAAACGGTAAAAAAAAATTAATAGTTCGAAATATTTCACAGTCATGACAAGTACTATCATTTCCGTTTTCTACAATAATTCAACACAAGACATTAAAGTATTCGTTTTTCTCATACATGCCTAGTTCATCTTCAACACATTTTATTTGAACATTACTCTGAACATCACTTATCAGGACGAGCGCGCGACATTCTAATACAAATTGAGTAGTAGCAGATAGACATGAATGTATAAAAGTTTGGCAAGTATAATAACTTACTCGATATCGAGACATTGTCTAGTTTGATGGGCGACCCCGCCACCGCAAGAGCGCGAACAGGAACTGGGTGTCGACCATGGTCCCCAATTGCCTCTCTCGGGCTCATCTGTGTCTGATACGAAGCTACTAGGTAGATAACTTTCGCCATGTTGTCGGCGATGCCTTCCGTGCCTTAATTTTATATGATACTGAAACAAGATTAAGAGAAATACATTATTACGTTATACTCGCGTTTCCTTGTTCCATGCTGCGCTGCATCATGCATCGAAAGAGTATATAGGTATTATGAGGTCACAGACAGGGTCACGAAAAAGATGTGGCCTGCCGTGAGAACGTAAGTGCGAAGGAAACATTTCGCGCTAAGTGCTCCCTTGTTCACCTGCAGTCTTCGGCTCTAGAGAACCATCTATGCGACGTATAGTTAAGCTTCGTAGATAATAATAGTAGTTGTGGTTTGCCATATTTTGAGACATTTTAATCGCTCAAAAATGAAAACAGCTCATGTGCATCGTACGTGAAACATATTTTAAAAATGTACTTTCCAATCCATTAATTTGTCAGATTTGATTCCAGAATTAAATTATTTCTCATAGAAAAGTGTAATTGTAATCTTTTATGTAATCTTTATGTTAAACTTAATATCTAAATTTATAATTGTAAAAACTTGTAATTAATTTCCCATCCAAATACTCTCAGAATTTCATTAATGTACTTCTTAAAAAATATACTCACTATTTTTCAAAATTCATTATTAAATAATTATGTTTATACATTATTTATGCATACGTAAAACTACTGCATGTTTGCTGCATTACCTGACTGTGTGTACTATATAAATAAACGAAAAGAAACTTTATAATTTACTTTATATACAATAAGATTTATATAAATTATTACAATAAATGAGTATTGTTTTGAGCAATGCATATGTCGTTCATGGACAATCAGTTTTAAAGATCGTTATTATTGAGATCGAGATACAACGGTCGTATATGAAATTTGACGATCGTAGAATGTTCCGTGAGATTGCGTGGTGAAGAGTTAATTAAATGGTTCGGAGAAATGGGCCTCTTTCTCCCGATGCGAGAGGTCAGTCGATGAACCATGAACATCGAACTCAACACGCCTCCTTCTTAATAATTGTCATATATATTGTCGCTGTCTGACCTCATGTTCGACACAAATAATGATAGGTCTATTATAATAGCAATTTTTCTGCGAGTTTATTGATAGCACTTCAATAATATAATAAAAACTAAAGATTCGTATGCGTATCATAGTTATTTTTTTGATGAATTATTACGAAAAGCAGAGAGAAAAATACAGAGAAGCAAGTGTAACTGCTGTGATCTTGAAGACATGTTGTTCTTTTGTGTTATTACGTTATCGGTTTACACTTATTTATTCTTTGTTTAAAATGTCTCAATAATTTGACGGACATATACACACACACACACACACACACACACACACACACACATATCAAAATATGAATATATATATACACATACGCGCGAATACGCACACACGTGCGCACGCATACGCACGCACACACGTGCGCGCACATCATCTTTTTAAGCGTAAAATTAAAAAATTATGTATATTAATATTATTTTAAGAAGAAGTTAGAAGAAGTATAATAAGTTGTCATACTTTATAAAAATAACTGATATAGAATATTCATTTAGAAATATATAGAAATAAGGAATAATATAGAAATATATATATATAGAAATATGATTACATTTATATAAATGTATAAAAAAATTAATTAGTGCATCAATATAAATTAAGTATAACAAAATCTCTCACAAATAGATAAACTTATTTTAACAATGCAAATTTCATGACATATTATTACGCGATGTCTGTCAAAATTAATAAATTTATTTTCAAAATTTCTTTGCGTTTGTAACAACCACTTAACTTATATTAGATTAGCCACGCAGTCTGAACGGGACTGCACTAATATTAGTAAAAAACCGCTATGAGTCATCATTATATGAGAGACTATATGGAGTTTTTCCTTTCTCTTCATCCCGCGTTTAATAATCTCATTACGGGTCCTTGCGAATGTCTCGAGTATATATATATATATATAT